AACTTGCAATCCTCCTGCCACAGCCTCCCAAGCTGGGAGGGATTACAAGTGTGTGCCACTGACTTCAGCTATTTTTTAAGAACAAGTTTACTGAGATATAATCCACATGCTAAAAATGTCACCCTTTTCGAGTAGTATATATCTCAGTGGTTTTCAGTATATTCAGTTTTGAAACTATCCAATTTCAGAATATTTCCATCATTTCAAAAAAGAAAAACCTGAAATCTTTAACAGTACTCCTTATTTATTCCCTTCCCCTAGCCTCTGAAAGCATTAGTCTATTTTCTGTGTTGATTGATTTATTTGTCCCGAAACGTATAAATGTGAATGGCTTCTTCTACTTGGCATGTTTCCAGGGTTCAGTCATGCAGTAGTATGTATCAGTGCTCCAATTTTTTCTATGGATGAATATTGTTCCATTGCCTGAATGTGCCACATTCTGCTTATCTATTTATCAGTTGATGGACATTTGGGTAGTTTCCAATGTTGGGTTATTCTGAAAAACGTCATGAACACTGACATTTTTGTGCCAGATTTTCAGTTATCTTAGGTTTTTAACTATGAGTGGAATTGTTTAGTCATATTTAATTCCATGTTTAATGTTTTGAAGAACTTCATAACTTCTTTCCAACGTGGTCACAATATTTTACAATAGGGTTCCACTCTCTGCACATCCTCATGTATTTTTATATATAAAAATTTTATATAATAATATTTATTATTATCTTTAAATTATAGTTATTTTTAATTTTAATTCTAGTTATTTCTGTGGGTATGAAATGGTAAATTTCCATTTGCATTTCCCTCATGACTAATGATACTAACATTTTGTGTGCTTCTAAGCCATCTGTATATTTTTGTCTGTGTGAGAAAAGCACTTTGCTCATTTTCAATTTAATTGTCTTTTTATTATTGGATTAAAATTTTTATATATTCTGATATAAGACCCTACTCTGATATATAATTTGCTAATATTCCTCTGATTATATGGGTCTTCTTTCATTTTGCTACAGGGTGAGCCTTTGAATCAGACAAGTTTTTTAATTTTCAAGATTCCCTATTTATCTGTATTTTTTTCTTTCATCTCTTGTGCTTTTGGCATCATATCTGAGAGCCAATTCTAGGTCACAAAAATTCATATGTACTTCTAAAGTTTTCATAACTTATCTCTAACATTTAGGTCTTTGATTAATTTGGAATTAATTTTTGCATATAGTGTAAGGAAAGAATTCACATTCATTTTTTTTTTCCATGTGGATGGCCAGTTGCCCTACTACCATGTGCTAATAGTCGATTCTTTCACCATTGAACTGTTTTGTCAAAAAATCAATTGACTACAAATGTAAGGGTTTATTTCTGGGTTCTCAAATCTATGCCATTGATTTGTATGTCTGTTGATCTTATTTCTGTGTCTTTGCAGTAAGTTCTAAAATTGTGAATTTGAGTTCTTTACCCTTGTATTGCTTTTTCAGATTTCTTGGTTATTTGACTTTCTCACATTTCTGTATGAATATTAAGAACAGCTTGTCAATTTCTGTAAAAGAGCGAGCAGGACTTGCATATATAACTTTAACACTAATAAGATTATTCATCTTTAAATATATACTGCCTATAAAAATTACAAATCTCTTCTTTAAATTTTGTAAAGATTTTTCACAGGATAAGTAAAAAAAAAGACTTGTCTGTTATAAAAGAGATTGGATCTGGTAGAGGTGGGTGTACAAATGCTTTCTGAGGCAGTGTTAACTTTTCAGCAGACTAGAGAGGAAGTTATTGAGATAGGTAAGTGCAGGAGCAACACTACAAAATGGGAACACAGGAAATGCTAGCATGGCCATGGAGAGGGATATAGATATTTTCCATAAACGATGAGTATTCACTCCAACTTTGCATTTTAAGGTTGATGATGGGAACTGAGTCAAAAAAGGTTTACAAGGAGATTTTGTATCATTAATCACTGTTATATTTATGTGTTCACATTTTGAACATTATTGTACATACTGAAAAAAATAATCATAGTGTATCTAAAATATGAATAAAAGATGAATTTGTAAATATCAAATTTAAAAGAAATTATATCTGAGCTAGGGTTGGTAGGAAAATCAATAACTGAAAAGTCAAGCATATAGTCATAAAACATTGTTAAAGAGAAAAATAATCTATCCTGTTACATCTTAAGAAATAGACATTTTTGTCTACATGTTCTAGTCACTGTGACAGGTGCCTAAAAGAACTAGTACACCAGTCTACTTAAAAGTAGTTCAGTACATTGAACTAAAATGTAGCCAAGCAGAATGAACTTCAGATACACTTAAGAACTCTAGAGTTTCCAATGTCATAATCAGTGCTGTCTTTAAAAAAATCATTTATTCATTTGTATGTTTACTTCCCTTATTTATTGATGCAAATTGTTACTAACTTCCAATCTGATTCAATCCCTAATTAGGCATTGGGGAAAGAAGAGTGAGATAATTATTGCTAAGAGTCCATTAGAATAGGAGTCCAATGAGAAATCAGAATGAGGGTATTTAATTAGAATACCATATGACAATATTTATAATGGAAAAATTCCTAGGAGCATGGAAGAATAAATGGAAGGAAGGAGAAGCAACTTTCCTAGAGACTGGCACTGAACTGGCATTGACAGGAAGTTACTGAGATAGGTCAGCATGGGAACAGTGCTCAAAAGAAAGTTTGCACAGAAATGTGAAGGACTATGAGGGCGTTCAGGAAACCACAAGCATTCACTAGAGCTGTGTTAGGATTGATGGTGCAAAATGAGCAGAAAGTGGTAAACAATGAGATTAAGGAGGATTTTGTGTGCCTTACAAAGATTAAAATTTAATCTTGTGGAGTTACACTGTAAAATTTCCACCATGTTACATAATCAAATTTGCTTGAAGGACCCTTCTGTTAGTGGTGTGGAGGGTAGATCAGAGAAGAGACAGACCCGGGGCAGCAAGATGGAAAAATAGGAGCTGTTGCAGCGCAAAGAGGGTAAGATGTGAAGAGGGACTCAATTAGACCACCAGCTACTGAAGTGTGGAGGTAGACAGAAATATGAGACAGACAGAAAAGGTAAGTCCATGAGACTCAGTGATCACATGGGAGCATGAAGGGAAGACAGGATGTGAAGGAATTAACCTGTTACAATGAGTTAAATGTTTGTGTTTCCCTAAATGTCATTGTCAAAATCCTAACTCCCAAAATGAGTTTGAGGAGCGGAAGCATTTGGGAGATAATTAGGCTGCAAGAGTGGAAACTGCATCAATAGGATTGAGCCCCTTTGAAAGGGTCTTCAGAGAGCTCTCTCACCTTCTTTTTCACCACTTGAGGGCATAACATACAGCAGTCTACAAGCCAGGAAGATGGCCACCACCCAAACTGGATCATGCTGGCACTCTGATCTCAAACTTCCAGCCTCCAGTACAGTGAGAAATAAATCTGTTTAGAAGTCATGCAGTCTGTGACACTTTGTTCTAGCAGCTGAACTAAGACACCTACTAAATTTTCAGTTTTCCTGTTCCTTAAGAATCTAAAGAATGATATTTATGTTTTTAATGCATCTACAATACACATTTGAATACACTAAATTACAGAATAGATAGGATATCACATTATTCTTTTGGAGATAAGGATATTACATGAAATGTAAAACATTTATTTTCTGCCTTTCCTTAAACTAAATCACGAGTTTAAGTCAACACATTTGGAGACAGTAATGCACTCAGGACAAAATGAACTCAGTGCTGATTTTTATTATGATTTCAAAGTGCATGTAAAGATTACTAGATGAGAGATGAAAGGTAGAAAGGAAAGGTAGAAATGAAAAGTGTAGATAGAAAACCTGTCTTATGGTAATTAGGCCTTCCTCTTTGCTTTTAATAAAAATCGCTATGCAAAACTGGTTCATACCTTAGTGAAAGGACAAACCACAGATATCATATGCAAAAGAGGGTCAAAACAGTCAATAGTTCCTGGACTTCTGAGAAAGTGAGTCACATATTCTATTAATGCATTATTTTTATATTAATAAAATACACAAGAAGAACGGTGAATAAATTGGTCATAAAGCAGTTAGTCCTCACACTTGGCCAGCTCACTGACTGAAAACAGCATGTGGAATTGTCACCTTTACAGGGTAATTTCTTTTGACTATTAACATTTTACAATAAAAATAAATAAATATGAAAAACTACAAGGGAAATAAGATATCCCATTCAATGGTTTAAAATGATGGATTACACAGCTAAATACATTAATTACCGAAAGACTTCATAGTCTTTACCAAGCTAGTGAATTATAAATAGTGAAGCACAGTGGCCTCTATATGGCTGGGACAAAAGTATGAAAAGGCTAAGGAAACAAGACAGAACACATGTGCTTCTTTTGTTTATATTTGTATGTCATGTGGTAGAAGGCAGGCTAGGTCTGCATGATGTCAAGATGCATAAAAAGGGTACTTCCTAGAAGAGCAGTCTGTAGACAGTATGGGTCTGATCACTAAGGTGAGGATGGGTGCTAAAAATGCAAGTCCTTGAGACGAATCTATGTCTGGAATTGAGGAACTGCATCTTGAAGTGTGCTATGTAAAATATTTTAATCCATATACCAAATCAACTTCTTCTCACCTGATTTAGTAACTGCTATTGGAAATGAAGACAGGAGCAGAGATTTATGGGCCTTTTTCCCCACCGCATATTATCATACAACCTATCACTAAGTATGTCTAAAACCACATATAACTTTAATGTCAGGTTCAATTTAATTTACCAGACATTATTATAAGCTCGTGGAGAAAAGAAAAGCACTGTTCAAAGGCACTAGAAAGAAGAGTCAGGTGGGAGCCTCAGCACAAAAAAGGTCCTTTTATAACCTTTCTTTGAAACTGGCATATATTTTTGCATAACAAAAATCATAGTAACATAAAACTTTTATAAGTTTCATTGTCTCAGAGTCCAAGAGATAAAACTTTCACACACACACATGCACACACTGAGTTTCACCCCAAAATAGCCACATTCTTTTATTTGATGAATCAATACATTTTTAATTCAAATAGTCACCACATATTCTAGGCATAATATTAAGCATTTTACAAGCAGAGTGTTTTACTGATTTTCTTTTCAATTGCAAAAGGGTACAATAAGTGAATTGGTTAAAGGATATACTTCTGTACATAAAAATATCCAGGTATTTATACAAGCGTATGGAACAGAGTTTAAAGGTATTGAAAACATAGCATCACAATAAATAGGATGTGTTCCTACTCCACAGCCCACTTTATCAAGAAGCTGTCAGTCTCTTTTATCAAGGTGCTTTCTGTTCTTCTGAGCTGGGTTCGTATTTCCCCCCAAACAGGGTTAAATTAGTAAGAACTGGAGCTGAATATACACTTTTCATATTTTATTTTTTATTTGCATATCCAATAAACAGGGTGGAAGATATGGTAATTTATTTCCAAAATGTCATTGTGACTTCCCAGTCCTATTGGTTTCATACTTCTGTATTTTTAAATGCAGGTCAATCTAAGCTCTAGCACCATTCAAGAAGGAAATACATGTATTTTTTTTTTGTCAGAGCAACAATATTTTATATCATCCTTATTCATCTGGCTATAACAATTCTGTTTAGAAAAAATTTACCAAGCTAAAAATAGTTGATCTAGGTTGTCATAAAAAAAGAATATTAAATACCTTTGGTAAAAATAGATATATTTAACAAGATTAGAAAAGGCAACAGTTATAATGTCAAAAAAGAGAATATAAAAATGTACACAATAAAACAAATAAACCAACTTAAAGTGAAGATAAGGCCACTCTTCTGTTCAGGTTTGCCTCTTTCAAACCATGAATGTAGTTCTCTTCTTCTAAATGGCAGAGATTTTAATAAGAAACATGGAAAATCCAGTCTTTCCTATCAGCCATGACACCAGTTTAATTCATAGCAACATAGTTCCTCTTTAAAAGCCAAGTTTTAGAACATGAAATGTTCTGGTTTATATATGCAAGTATAAGGGGAAAACATTCCAGATTTTCTGTGATATTAGGCCCAGAACATGGAGCTTTAGAGTTAAGCAGAGCAACAGAATCAGGTACTCACTTGCAGCTTTTTCTTGTCCTGACATTAACCTAAGCCATATCATGACATAGGGAATACAGACTGCAGCAAGTGGAAAAGGAACATGGTAACTAGCTAGCGATCTACAATATTTAATTTTTTTTCCATGATTGAAGACCTTTTCTCCTGTCCTTTGGGCTCCTCTCAAAAGCGATGTTGCACAACTCATAATTCCATTTGGTGTCTCCTCTTTAGAACCCACTGTAAATTGTGCAGATGGAAGATCCTTGAAGCAAACAACTGGGATTATGGATGCAGGTAATGCATTAGTTCTCTAACAGAATCAGCCGCTGGCTGCACCTGACAGCTCTGCGAACAGCTGGTGGTGATGTGGTTATCCTCCTGTGTTCCCTCTGCACACACAGTCACACTCCTCGTGATGCTCCAGGGCCACGTCAGTGAGTGATTTATGCAATCCCCTGACACCAATCTTTGGTCTCAGTTGAAGGACCTGAAAGGGAAGAATGTAAGCCACCTTTAAAATCAATCCATGACTCTAACATTCGATTTGCTGCATAAAAAGAATTTTCAAAAACAATCTCAGAGCTCAACAAGACTTATTTTCACATTTCCTCTTGAAAGTGTTATGTAAACATTTCTCCATAAAAAATATCATTTCATAAAAGGACACTTCAATGCCAACAATTTGGGAAGTGTACTGCCTTAGAATAAAGAAGAGTTCTTAAATTGAAAGACTCTGTCTGCTCAGTATTTTTCTTATGTAACCAGACAGAATTTCACCTCAAGTATTTTGCAACCGCTAATGCACATCTTGTTTCTCTGTTTGTTACTTTCTTCTTCTCATTCATTTATTCACACATTTAATAAATATTTATACTTGAAGCAGTACACTCAAGTACAGGAATACTGTGGAAGGAAACATGATCACTCCACAGCTGAGTTTGCTCAATTATGCCACTCATTAATTTTCTTGGCTACACTTCAAGTCCTCTAAAAACTTGATGAGACGGATTAGATGTACTTCATAGACATCAGCTTCAGTCACAGCTAACTTTCTGCAGCTGGATTCTACTGTACAGTGCTAAGGAGGTTTGGCAATAACAACAATAACGCCTCTATTCAATGAAGCTATTTGCAGTTTGGCTTGTTGAGCTTTTTAGTAAGAAATATAGCAGAATAAGCACCCTAAATAAACATATTTCCTTTTAATACTGTGCCGAAGGGTTCTAGAAGTATATTCTATTAAAGATCATCTAACGTATTGGATAGCAGCTACCTATTCAATTCTAATACATTTCTTATAATAGAAATGACAAAGTTTCAGAAATTATGTTTATTTGGGTTTTGAAAAAGACCAATGTGCATGATAATATTAAATTGTCTAGCTTTCTCCTTCTGGGTATGACACAGATGACTTCATGAAGCAACTTTGAAAAGCTACCATTCCTGTAAATTTTCATTAATCTACAAAAGTACAAGTCAAGTCTTATGACTGTTCAATGTGAAGACTCAAGAAAGAAAACTACAGAATGCATACCTCATTCAAGTATGTGGTTCTATCGAAGGTTAATTAGCTAACATTTTTTGAATACTTGCTGGGTGCCAGGCACAATGATGTTTTTACATACTTTAACTCACAAGAATTCTATGAAGTAATTTACAATTATTTTCCTTATTTTACACGTGAGTGAACAGAGAGACAGACTAAGTGACATAGTAGTTATCTGAACCTAACAAAATATGAATTATTAAAGTAAGAATGATAGATACTTATTTTATAAAAGTTCATAATATTACCATTCATACATCCTATTTATTTTGAAACTTTCTTCCTAGAGAGATAAACTTCAAAGTCTTGTCATAAGTCTTATATTCAGATAGTTTTACAGAATTAGAAACTGTAAACTTTTAAAGTAGGTTTTCTCTTCTGTGACATTTCATAATTTCAGAACAAAAATTGTGAAGACTATATTTCTTCAGCATGAAACTTAATCTACTTGGGTGTTATTTTATATCAGTACTGACTTGTTGTCTGAATAAGCTGGGGTGACATCAAATCTGAACTTAAGGCACCCCTGCCAGTCCTTATCATACTCTTGCTACAAATGGTTTCTGGATTGAGATTGGGTGGGTAAGATAAATCGCAGTATCAGCAAAGCCATTATGTTCATCTTCTAAGTCTACTTGTCTGCATTTCTCACTTCAGAAAAGAAAAAAATATGGTACAAAGAGTAAAATTAGGGAGGCCATCTACCATGCTAATGGCCAGCCCAGATGCATTCTGCTTCCACTCTCCTGCCAACTATGCTAAACAAAAGCACCTCCTCCCTAGCCTTGTCTGGTGATGCTTGTGGAAATTCACATATAGCAGACAAAGCTCAAAATGTCCTAGTAGTTTGGATAAAATATTCTAATCTGCTTAGTGTTTTTCTTTTCAGTTCTTTTTGAAAATTTGGATTTTGGAAGCAGGAAATAGACTTGGAGAATGATCAGCAGGTGCCACCTAATATGAAAGAGGAAAATTTCATCTTCAGGATGTGGATTATGACACCAGAAGTATGGGGGTAGGGAAATGTCAGAAGTCTATCTCAGGGAACTATGAGGGAAGGCTGGGCATGGAGCTCAGCGATAAAGCGCTTGCCTAGCATGTGTAAGGCCCTGGGCCCAATCCCCAGCACCAAAGGAAAAGAAAAGACAGAAAGAAGAATTGAGGAAGAAGTGAACACTAAAACTACCAGTCCATGAAAAAGAATATCAAGGTTATGTCTCAAACCAGAGACTATGGAAGAAAACAAACCAGACACAAAGAAACACCAAGGAGTGGGTGCTAAGTACAGTCAAACAAGATGGACTGATCACTCTCCAAACCAGAGCATTGATGAAGCAGGATTCAGTACTAGAATAAGGTCACAGGACGGTAAACTTTTCCTAATACAGACAGATCTAAGGTTAGAAAAGCAAGACTCCTGTAGGTTATGGAAAAAAGAAATTAAACATAAGAAGATATAAACAAAATAAGATTAGAGAAAAAGGAACAAATATATTACTATTGTGAGAGTGTTTTGTAACTTTTTTTGGGGCGGGGAGGCGAAGAATACCTTTCCTCTCTCTGAATTCATTAGATTTTTATTCATCATTTACTGTAATTGAAGAGGAAAAATTAAAAAAACGAACGAGAAAAAAAAGCTAATATGTATGAAAGGTGTAAAATGCATCAAATCTTGTTCTAAGTATTCTGTAAAAATCTACTCACAGATTTCTCACCATGAGTTATGAGAGTTGGAAAATCATTTTACCAATCAGGAAACTGAGGCATGAGGGATTGAGTTACCGGCTCAAAAGGACACAGCGAACAAATGTTAGCTTCAAATATGGGATGTCTGTTGTGGGAGTTTGTACTTGCAAGCACTGTACTGTAACATGATCTTTGTTTCTCTTAGCCCTCAATTTGGTAGAAACAAAGAAAAATAAACAATGATTTTAAAACAGTAATAGTTCTCTAATAAAGATATCTTTGAAGTCCCATGCATGCTCTAAGGATGAACTAATTGGTGCTGCTAGGATGGGCAGAACTCTTAAAAGTGTTTCAAGGAAGATGTGACATGTAAGTTCATACACATAGAAAGTTCCCAACTCGCTTTTCTGAAAATTCCTACTGGAGAGACAGAGAAATTATTAAGAAATACATTTCCTTGGTGAAATATATTATAATGTAGAGATCCAATGATTGATAGAGAAGAGGTAAGAATCGTACTAAGAACATTATCATTAATACTATTATGCTATCAGCAACACAGTAACATGATATCATACTGTATGATTCCTTTAATTATCTGAACTTATTTTTGGTACAGGGGTTGAACAAAAACCCAGCAAAATGCTACAGGAAACCACAAGGAATACTTGTTTTATCTGTAGTAATACGATGACTATGATTTAACCCTAATATTTGCAGAAGCTGCTATAATATAAATAGATGCATGAGAGGACAAATAGAACCTCTAACCTGTCTTTGCTTTTTCATTTTTCCATGAAGTAGAATAATCATAAAACCCAATTGGCAACATCATTAAAAATATTAAAGGTTGGGTGGGTATAGTGGTGCAAGACCATAATCCCAGCAGCTTGAGAGACTGAGGCAGAAGGTTCTCAAGTTCAAAGCCAGCTTCAGCAACTTAGTAATGTCCTAAATAACTTATGGGCACCCTGTCTCAAGAAAAGGATTAAAAGGGCTGGAGATGTGGCTCAGTGGTTAAGCGCATTTTCGTTCAATTTCTGGTGCATAAATAATAATAATAATAATATAATAATAATAATAATAATAATAATAATAATAAATAAAGCTGAAGGTAGACTTGTCTTTAAATGAATTAAGTCTCCATGTCCAGGTCCATAATATTCAATTATCTAATAACTTTGAACAATTTTAAATTGTTTTAAAAATGCATTTGATTAATAGTAGTGCTAGATCAGAAGTGATCTCAAGAATATGGGAATGAGAAAAACAAAGGCCTCAGAAATTCTGAATCATGTTAAACAAACAGTCCTTTCTCCATAGGGTAAATGGACAAAAATATTATTGTTATTAGAGATATTTGTGAGACATTATTGTTATCAGAAATATTTGTGATAAACATCAAGTAGGAAATTTTTATATTATATTTCTTCATACTTAATCATTAGAGATGTTTGTGCAAAACTAATGGGTGCTAATGTAATTATAATATAATTAGAAAAATGTTCATAGTTGCACGTGTGTATAGGTGTGTATCTATAATCAACCCAATGAAGACCAGGAAACGTGGATTTATGTCATTCTGTAAGAACACCACTTGGTCCACAAGCACTGCCCATAGCCTTGCCCCAAACAGTAATGTCTTCATTTTCTGAGGCTTGAAAACAGATATTACACACTCTGTGGCAACTTTCTGGATAATAACACTAATGTTATTTGTAAAATAAATGGATAGCTATAGGATGGAGGGGGCATGCTTGACCTAGGAGACTGCTTTAGCAAACCACAGAATGAGATTCAGCACCCCATAGACTTGTTTTAAGAAATTGTTTAAGTCAAGTGTGGATTTTTAGAGTTCTTAAAATAGTGGTTATAAATGCAAGACTGGCTGGCTAAATTAGGTCCCGAAATACACTTGTTTATTAAGTATCCATTTCGGCAACTTCAAAATTGAGTGACTTTAGGTGGGAAAAGATCCTTCCAGTTTAATACATATTCTTATCACATCCTTTTATCTTATGCCAGGCAACTCTAACATCTGCCCAGCCTCTGAGGCATTTTAATTTTAATGCTATTAAGAACTACAATATTATTTTTTTATTTTCTTGACTAGATTTCCAGTTCATGGAGTGGCATAAGGCTGGACTGTAGGCACATCCTACCTGTCTGGAGCCCCAGGAGCCTCTGTGCCCATGAACATCTGCTTTTTGCTTGTATGTTTGGTGCTAGGGATTGAACCCAGGGCTTTGCATATGCCAAGCAAGTGTTCTACTGCTAAACTACACCCTCAGTCCCTGACCATCTACTTCTTGATTCTAGAATGGCAACTCCTTTCCCAGCACACGATCTTTACAAGAAAGTGGTATGCAAATCAAAAGTAGAACATGAGTAATGGCGGCAAATAGTTCTATTTTTAATCACTGAATGACAGTTTGGGGTGTTACCTGATAAAAGATTGCCATCCAGTAAGTGTCATGGAATAAAAACCTGAAAGATCATGATATTTCATGTTTGTTACAGAGGTAGTGTATGCAGATGGCAGTCAATGGCAGAGCTTGAATGGACACAGAGTCCCTTGTCTTCTAGAATGATGTGCTTTTCTTCCTTTTCTTGCCAGGCTACCAACATAATATTGGTGAAGGGCAGGAAGACCATGTCACCCGAAGTGCAGTTTATGAAACTCTACGTGTTCAGATTACTCAACAGAGAGCATTTTGCTGATGTCTTTCTAAGTAGGTACCTTTTCTGAAGCAAAATGTCAAAATAATGAAATGAAGTCATATTAAAATGAAGTCAGAGGGCAGATTTTAACTTGTCACAATGTGAATATTTTGTAGAAATTAACGTTGACTCATCAAAACCTGACTTTTTCTATGTATGCTATATAGTACTGCTGGAGAAGGTGGGATAGAATTGAGGATATTCCAGCACTAATGAAAATTTTGGATGTGCAAGTTCCCAACACTCTAAAGTAATAACAACTACCATTTCAACTTTATTTTCCTAATTCCAGAGAAAAAAAAAGAGGCAAAGGGGTAAATACATTCATAAAAGTCTGAACAAGTTATTTGTAGCAACATGAATAACACAAAGATTGGTATAACTGTGAACATGTTCCCTTGGGACTTATGTGCCCATTTTGGCCAAATATAAAAATAAATATCAAAGATCTCCTTTCTTCAAAATAGACAATGATTTATCTCTAAGATTGACTTTAAAATATTTTCCCTTCATATTTTGAAAAGTTTAAAAGTTGAAAAGCTTCACTTACATTTTTTTCTTCAGAAAAACTTTTCTTTTTTGTATGAGAAGTAAAAACTTCACTGACCACCCATGATGTACTACTACCAGAGAATAAGCTTTCTAAATCCTTGATGCTGGGTTTTTAAATTAAAGGTCCTAATTTTAAAACGTAGAAACATAAACTCTTTGTAAAACCCTGTTTTTAAAAATTTTCCATGAACGCCACATCTCCTTTCCAAACATGAATCCTTTTCAATTTCACGGCTTGGTTCTAAGAAAAAATACTCAAAGGAAATCGAAAAGAAAATGACACACCTACCTCGTGATATTTTTTAGTGACTTTGCTCGGGACGCAGTGACATTCGTTGCAGTTGTGGAGACAACAGGCACAGTTTCCACCACAGCGTTTAACCAGGAGACAACCTGGCCAGAAAATGGTATCGGTTCTCTTTAGTTCTTCCCTTATGGACACCGAGAAGTTACGAGGTGTGCAGCTGTATAATCTTACCTCCTCTTTTAGAAGGTTCAGATCCACCACTGCATGGCATAGAAGAAAGCAAATTAAAAAAAAAATAAAAGAGAGAGAAGTTCATGCTTTGAGCTTGAATCTATTTCATTAAGCACATTTCATAAAATAATCTAGTTATTCCGTGAACAATAATTAATAATATCCCTTCTTATTTTAACTAGGTTGTAGGGCTACTCAGCTCACAAATTAGACTTTCTATTTCATAGTAAACAAAGCTTCATTATGACTTAGTGACCAATAAAGAGCCGCCATTGTGTAGTATTAAGAACAGAGCGGACAGAACAGTTGAGAGCTATAAATAGGAAATTTTACAGAGAGAAAAAGGTCTACACCTTTTAACCTCAGTACAAAAGTACACAAGGAGAGCGCTGGAGGGAAGAATACAGTGTAAAATGATGAATGCTTTGATTAAAAAACAAATATGATTTTTAAAGGATGATAGACTCAGACATTTTATGAAGAACAACTTATTAGAAGCTGTTAAACAGAACTTTCTATAATCTTTTTGGCAATAAGAATCATAAAATATAAAAAAAAAGGAATGAAGAAAATATATTATTGAAGACAGCCAAATGGACCATGAGTTAAAAAAAAAAAGGATTTAATTTATAAGAGCAGAAGCTTTGGGGAAGAAATTTTAGGAATATTAGGGATTTGTGGTCTTTGTAATTTAAATTGAGTAGAATCTTAGATTTCTATTGTTCCCTTGCTTAAGGATGGAAGAAGTATCTCATTTGTAAGCATTGTCTCTACTCTTTTAGCAAGTTGGTTAACTATGTTGTCCTTTATTTTTCAAAAGAATTACCTACTTGTGAAGCCCAAACAAAATATCCTTTCATTGGACAGCTGTAGTAAAACCTCAAAGAACCATTGTTTTTAACTACAAAATGATACTGCCTCAGGAAAATCCTATCAAAATAACTTGTCATGTTTACTACGAATTCATAGATAATATATGAACAGTAGTTACTAGGATAGATATTTGTAACATAATTTTAATTTCTTCTAAGCTCTATTTTTGTCCCTAGATCTGTTCAAACAATTTCAACCATATTGAAGAGTTTGAGGATCACATACATTCTTCCAGCCCACCCAATAAAGTACTTAAAAGAAAAATTAAACTAAGAAATATTACCTAAAATACAATTGATCTTGTTAAATAATTTCACTATTATAGGAAACAAGCGTGAGTCAAAAGAAAACTTATTTGGCTGAAGATGGCTTCAAATAGCAATAATCAATATGTAGATCCAATTTTCAAAATTAAGTGCTAATAATTTTTTAAATGATGAGTCCTTATTTTTTTGTTATATATGTGATCAAGTTTTTTGGAATTGTCAAAAAGAGGTGATTTTAGTATTTCTGAGAAGTGTAAAATTATGCATGTGTAGTAATAAATTACAAACATGTTAACCATATAATTGACTAAAACCCAGGTCAAAATAGGAAGGCCCCCAAACATGGCTAATTCAATGGTCCATTTTGACAATTTATTCAGCTAAATAATTAGTTTTCCTATTCAATACAAAATCACTGCTTTATTTGAGTATTTAAACATTTGTTTTTCATCTAGAAATAATTTTATGAATGAATGAAAAGCTTTTAAATATTAAAAGCAAATGAGTTCATTCTTTTCAGTACCCTGAAAAGACCAATTTATGTGTTATACAATTAAGGATATCATTAGGTGAAATGATATCACATATTTTGCTAAATTTCATTTTGCTGAACCAATAGTATATGTATACCTTTGCTCTGGTGTTGTTAACGCTATCATTTTATTTGGACTTTTTCTCTGGAAGGTAATATAGAGAAACCATGCAGAAACACAAAAGCTGTTTGCCCCAATTTTCAAAGCTTCAAGATTTATACTTCTTTAGAATGAATGAAGCTCTTAGCTTTCAAGGATAGTCGCCTACTCCAAATAGTTTTAAACACACTATTTCATGAACTAGAAAACGAGACTGTATATGTTCTCTTTAAAATGTTTACTTAACCACAATAAAAGGTTAGATAGATTTCCCAAGTGAACTAAGTTATGATACCTGCTACAATGTGAAAATTTAAACACACTTTCAACTTAGCTTCCACTCATTTATCATGTTTAACACAAAAGTCAAAAGCCTCTTTTTAAGTACTAGTTAAGCTTGACTTAGAAACTTTTTTTTTTCCCTGCAGTGGCAATGGATTAATGAAACTTTGAATCAGAGGAAGAAAGGGAAAGAAAAGAAGCAGAAAAACAATGCAGACCACAATGGTCCAAAATACAATTAAGGAATTTAAATTTGTACACAATCTTTGAAATTTATGCTTCCTATACCTAAGACTTCGAACTTAGAAACTTCATTAAAATTAGTCATGAGACCATAATCTTATATCATAAATTCTCCAAACATTCTGCAGAATTTCTAGGCAAAAAGGAAGGAAGGAAGGAAGGAAGGAAGGAAGGAAGGAAGGAAGGAAGGAAGGAAGGAAGGAAGGAAGGAAGGAAGATTGTGCCTCAAGGTATACTTTGCAGTAGTTTAACTAATACTAAGGAAGTTTTCTTCTGCAAAATATTTTTAAGTGAAACTCAGCCTTTAGATTATTTTGCCTTTTCATAATTGCCACCTAAGCATTGGTCTGCCTTCTAAACAATAAACATTTTGAGCACATCATTGGTCAAAATCATTATTCCTAATAAAAATTTCATCAGTATTGTAAATTTTACTAAAAAGTGTAATACTGAAAAAAAAAAAACATGGTCACATATTTCTTTGGTAGTTGTTCACTCTTTTTTAAGATATTCAATCCAAAGGTATTGTATTACCAGAATGCAACCTGAGGGTGGTCTTTCTAAGATGAATGTGGTAACACTGTGATATGTTTATTCTGGAGAAAATCTATTTTGATGCCTAATTAGAAGCTTTTAAAAGTTTTACTCCTGGTTCCTTTGTAGAAAGACTCTCAGGAGGGGAGTTGATTTTGTCTACATAGATGTTATCCCACACCTGCATTTTGGTTTATGTAAAGTCCCCAAAATATACACCACTTTTTTCACACTTACTGTATGATTAAAAAGTTAATAGTTTTGGCAAACTGCAAGGAACTTCAATTTTGAAAGTGTTAAATGAATATCTGAAAGATCTGATTCAGGGTTGGATGCTTTTAAATATATGCTAGCCTCTGGCCAAATCTTTAGGCAGTAGGCAGAGATTTCCGCAGAAAGCCATGGCTAGGAGGGAGGATTTTAGGCTTGAATCCAGAAATCAGCTGTGAAAAAAACTAGATCTGAGCTTAGAACCTATTTTCCTCTCTTGCTTCTTTCAGATCCACATGATAATCTACTTCACTTTTGCTAACAAGGGCTCTATTCATGGGTGTTTCAGCCTCTCTTGCTTGATCTTCATCTTCCTGTGTGTAAGTGGGAGGGAAGGGAAGCGCTGTTGGTAAGCTATTCATCAAGTTATTTATCAGGATCAAATCTTATAAATACGTAACAGTGTTCACATCTGGACAGGATCTCGCTGCCCATGCACTTGAACACGGATTTCAAATATTGCCAAAAGGAAACAACCTCTGTTGGCATAGCAAAATACCAGGGTTGGGCAAGTTGGAACATGACCTGCTGAGATTTAGTGCTTCAGCCAAAAGGACTGCAAATCAGCACAGGGAAGGGCAGGAATCAGGTTTCTTTCTGACAAGATTTAGAACAAGTCTGGTGCAATCTGCCTCTGTGAATGGCTCAAATTAACTAAACATTGAAACATAAATTCTCCAGACTGTCATTCCATTCTCTAAAATGACGCTGGGCAGATTTCAATGTTTCTGATGGAATGAAACAGTTTGGAGTGTATCGTAATTATCCAGTTATTCATGTTCCATTTTCATTTGTGTCTGATACGGATACTTCCTAATCCTAAGTTATTAGAAAAATTAGCTAACCTTGTAGAAAACTCACTTAACATATTTCCCATTTCAAAATCATGTGGAATTAGATTTAATTAACAACACTTTCATTTTAAAAAGGAGATAGGCCCTTTTGGCCAAAACTCATCATTTCAAAAAGCAACTGTATCCAGAGAGAAATTACCTTGGGGTGTTTTCTTCAGGTCATTTGTTTTATTGATGAGAATCTTACCTTAGAAACTTCTAATTACTTTTTATGTTGGGCCATTGTTATTTTTCATATTATATAGATGTTTCAAGACTTAAGAAATATAAATAGATAAAACCCTGACCCATGGTTGACATGATAATAATGATTTTTATAAAAGTGCCCCCCTTTTCTAGCACCAAACCGAATTTTGCAGCTCTGATCTTTTCTTTTAAATTTCAAAATCAATATACTCCAAAAGTAGATTGGAGTAAGCAACTTCACCAAAATGATTTTTTAGAAGATAAGAACTGATAGGAATTTTTACAGATATCTTTCCTAATTTTCCAAATCCACTGAATTGTAATTGACTCTTTTTGTCTGTGTTCTCATTTAACATATACTTACATTCTAATGATAAGCAAATGGATTGCCTAAATACAACACTGAAGAGTCTTAAACTCTTACCTTTAGAAGCTGTGGCAAAGAGACCTGAAACATTTCTCTGCTAAGAAAATTAAATGAGTTCTAATCCAAAGAGCAAGCTTACCTCTGGATTTTCTTCCAAAAACAAAAGCTTTGCCAAGAAGTTGCCAAGTTGGCCTGTATAGATCTTCTAAGTCCAGCTGCCATCTATCTGGTTCAAGATAGCGAATAAGATCCTCCAAAGTACTAAAGGCGGTTACAGCATTATTAAGCAGGTCCAGTGGCAAAGCTGAAGGGGGTAACACTGAAGGACTCACAGCTTCTGTGAGTTGCTGAAAATAAAAGGGATCTTCTGTTAACTGTTTTAAAATGTACAATGTATTCCCTCTCTTCTTACAGAGACAGAAACTAAGGCTGAAAATGCATGGGAAGTGAAACTACATTCAACCCCCAAGACAGAAGAAACTATTTTGCTTCTAACTCAAGTACTTCACACAGATGAACTCTTAACAAGTTCTCTTGAAGTCAGTTAGAAAGATGTAAGTTTCCATTATCACAGACCATGGTGGGTGTGGGCATCTTTCACTCACACAAAAACATTGAAAATATCACCATGGTTCAGTTATAGACTTAAAATGGAGACTATTCGACAGTTTATCAAATTTTTATTTTGTTTTCCATTTTTCTTTTTCCTCAGCTCAGAAAAATCACCCCACAGTTATGCAAATTAGTGTCAGATGAATTAAAATTTTAATGTAAAGTAACTCATAAGAACTAGAACAAAATACAGGTGACAATCCTTTGACATTGGAGAAGAACTCATTAATCAAGATGCCAAACCATAGATTATTAACTTGACACATTTATCAATAATGTATTTTAATATAAAAAACTTAAACCAGGATTACAAGATAAGAGAGACTCTGGTAGAATGCCTTGTCGAATTAAATGATTGTCCCAAAAGTTATATATATAATGTATGGAAAGAAAAGTGACAAACAGAAAACAACTCCACAGAGAAAAAAAAGACAAATTCCAGACAAGAAGCTTGAATAGTTAATAAACAAGAAAATATGCTAAAATGCATTAGATCATGTAAAACATGAGATAATATTTCACATTCCAAAAAAGATTCTATTTCATATACATAAGACTAGAAAATTTTTTTAAAAAATGGATTACTAAGAATGTGAGTAAACTGGAATTCCTGTACTTTGCCTACAAGGATGAATGAAAGGGGGCACAAACATTTTAACTGATATAACTTATGTGCATTGGATACTGGGACTTATATGTCTTAGGTCCCGGAATTTAAATTGAAGGTCCACATCGTTTCATTTATGCACATGGGAATACATACAATGATATTCATCACAGTAATGTTTTAAACAGAGAAACACTGGAAACAACCTACATGCCCACGTATAGGGGAATGAATAAAAATACACCATAAAAAATAAGCAAAAAAAATAAACAAGCAAAAAAATAAGAAGGTAATTTTAATAAAATGGAGGGAATGTCAATGCTTCTATTTATTTATCTATCTATCTATTTATTTATTTATTTATTTTGTAGTTGTAAATGGACAGAATGCCTCTATTTTATTGGTTTATTTTTTATTTTTTAATGTGGTGCTGAGGATTGAACCCAGTGCCTTCCATATGCTAGGCAAGCACTCTGCCACTGAGCTATAGCACCAGCCCATCAATACTCTTAATATGGAGTTTTCAAAACACAAAAGGAGTCACTCTCTTCCCAAAATTTAGTGTGGACTAAGGGTCAGGATTGGCAGATCAGTGTTAAACTACATGAGCAAATGTGTTTATTTCAGTAACAACAAAACCACTTTTTCAAATAAATACATGAAAAGAGTATAGAATTAAACACATAGGTTAATTGATGCTCATTTATAGCAGCACTTAGAATAACTAAAAAGTGGGAGAAAATGTACACACACATAATAGTGGAAGAATCAATCAAAGTGCATAGTCATTAAAATATGGTCAACCAGAAATTCTTATTAACAAAATAAATGACATAAGTACACCTTTAATATGGCATGACTCTGGGTTACATAAGTTGAGACAAAACAAAACAAAAAATTCAGAAGTGCCTTAAATAGTCAAGATAGCTAATCTATGGTTCAGACAAGAATGGATAATCCACTGAACTTCTATCCCCTTCTTGTGGGTTAGCTTCCACATGTCAGAGGAAACATTTGACTGGGGTCCTAATTAGAATAAGGTATATTCCATGCTTGTATACTTATATCAACATGAATTCTACCATGTATAACCAAAAAGAAACAAAACAAAAAAGATAGGGAAGATCAGTAGAGTAGAAGATGAATAAGAGTAAGGGAGGAAGGAAGGACAAGGGGAAGAAATATGGAATGAATTGAACAAAATCATGTCATAATCATATACAAAGAAAACAAAGGGAATTTTCACCTTTAAGGAAAAAAGCAAGTTAATAGGGGAAGGAAGTAGGGGAGGAAAAGGTGATGACGAATAGCGATTGAAATCAAATTCCTTGCATGTATGATGTTTTTTTTGGTGGTGGGGGTACCAGGGATTGGACTCAGGAGCTCTGGACTACTGAGCCTCATCCCCAGCCCAATGTTTTATTTTACTTAGAGACAGGGTCGCATTGAGTTGCTTTAGTGCCTCACTGTTGCTGAGGTTGGCTTTGAATTTACGATCCTCCTGCCCCAGCCTCAGGAGCATGCATGATTTTTGTCAAAATGAACCCAAATGCTATGTATAATTGTAATGCTCTAAAAAAAAAAAAAAAAAAAAAAAAAAACGAGAAGAGGTGATCTTCATTTTCTTCTTTATACATATACATATCCTCAATGTTTTATAGAGTAACTATGTATTCCTTTTGGAAATCTTACAAAATTAATAACATTTATTGTAACAAAACTCTGTCACATCAGCTTACCATTTTTATTTTCATTATTGGGATCCTGAGCTATATACTAAGTCATGTACTCTACATAGCAGCTTCTACCCTTGTCTCTTTGTCTTTAATCTTTACTTATTCCTTTTACTCTGTGCTATAAAACCTTGGGTTAATCTTCCTAAAATAAGATATCACTGACCATGTGATGAACTTGGACAAATGCCTATGTGATTTTACATTTAAAGGATAAAATCCAAATTCCTTCATCAGCATCCAGGCCTCCACAATCTGACCTCTGCTTCTTTCCCATCTAATCCCCTTCTCATCAAAGACATGAACATTTTGTTCCAATAAATGAAGTCTCTTCATTAATTGCCACATATGTCATATCCATCTCAGACTTTGTGCCTTTACCCATGGCTAAATGTTGCCCCTCCTCCCATAAATACAAATCTTTCCCTTCTGTAAATCCACACAATAAATTTTTACCATTTATAATGGCCTTTTAAAAAATCCAATTCTCCCATGAAACCACCCACAGCAGAGGACTATTACTGTCCCATATAGTGCAGCTGAAAGAGTCGGCCTCTGTGGAATGCTTTGTGGTCACCCAGCTTGAGGGGCAGATACTGCAAGCTAAGAAAGAAGTGTCTTTCTCTGGAACGCACAGTCCTTGTTGGGACTCATAGCTTTGTGTGTGAAGAGTCCTCCTGGACCACAGGGGGGGGGGCTGTTTTTACAGAGCATGATCAGTAGAAAAGTATGTGGCAGCCACCAGCCAACAATGATTTCCTTCTTATTTTAAAGGCTAATTTTATCTATCTATCTATCTATCTATCTATCTATCTATATCAGGAATTGAACCCAGGGTTGCTTTATCACTGAGCCACATCCCCAGCCCTTTTCATTTTTTTTTTTTTTTAATTTTGAGACAGGGTCTCACTAGCTTCCTTAGGGCCTTGCTTAGTTTCTGAGGCTAGCTTCAAACTTGTGATCCTCCTGCCTTAGCCTCTTAGTAATCCATGGGATTAGAAGCATGCACCACCACATGCAGCTAAAGGCCTAATTTTAATAATGTCAAGATTCTGGTTAAAATATCACAACTAAGATGTTTTCCTAATATGTAACAATGTTCTTGCTTTACCATTTACATTCTTAACTTTTAGAAAGTAGAAACCAAATCTAGTATGCTATTATCTACATAGTGATTTTTATAATTGTCCATGAAACACAAAATTGCTTTGATAGAGATAATACGATGATTGATAATGTCATCACAGACATAAATACAAATGATCTAATAAAGTTTTTCATTTTTGACTTAACCAATTTGTCTTATGATTATATTTATGTTTCATAGTTACTACAAATTTTTTGCAACTTTCAAAAATAAAAGCCCACCATTTGACCCAGCTATCCCACTCCTTGGTTTATGTCCAAAGGACTTAAAATCAGCATACTATAGTGATGCAGCCACATCAATGTTTATAGCAGTTCAATCACAATAGCCAAACTATGGAACCAAGCTAGGTGCCCTTCAACGGATGAATGAATAAAGAAAATGTGCCATATACACACAATGGAATATTACTCAGCTTAAGGAAGAATGAAATTATGGCATTTGCAGGTAAATGGATGGAGCTGGATAATATCACACTAAGTGAAATAAGCCAGTCCCAAAGAACAAAGGCTGGATGTTTTCTCTGATATGCAGATGCTAATTCACAATAAGTGGGTGGAGGACAGGGAAAAATAGAGGTAGTATGGACTATGCAGAGGGAAGTAAAAGGAGGGGAGGGAGTATGGGGATAGGAATAAGAGTAGAATGAATCAGACATCATTACCCTATGTACACATATAATTACACAACCGGTGTGATTCTACATCATGTACAACCAGAAGAATGAGAAGTTGCATGCCACAGTCTGGCTGGGCACAAATCACCGAGCCTCCACAAAGCACTTGTATGTTCAAAACAGGAAGCTTTATTGCCCAAACTCCACCAGCACTCCATGCACATGCACTCCCCCGGAACTCTCCCAGCTCTCCACGGGGCTCCGCCCCAACTCTTTTGGAACCCCAGGAGAACTCAATGGGAACTCCAAAGTAGGAGGGTGGAGGCAGCAAGAGCCGCCCTATTGCCGGACAGCAAAGGTCTAATATACAACTGAATACACAGCTTAACTAACCATCATCATCTCAATGGCTCGCCTTTCAACCATTCCCTCTGGCAAAATGCCATGTGTCATCCCGACTTGGCTGTGGCTCTCAACAGTTGCACTATATTTATGTATCAAAATGTGTCAAAATACAATCTATTGTCACATGCAAGTAATTAGAACAAATTAAAAATTCCTATATACCTTCAAAAAATAAAAGCTAAAATGTATATACTTTTATAAAATGAATATTAAAAGAGTTCAGTAAT